TTTAGAAAGTAGCAATGAGTTTTTAAAATAGAAAAAACCCTGATGTTAGCAACTACATAGGAAAGCAGCTATACTCACAAGAGGAAGTGTAAGCTTTCTGGAGAGGATCTGAGAGCGGTGACAAGAGTTATAAAAGCACGCACGTTCCCTGAGCAGGCAGTGCCCCTCTGGGGAGTATGTACACACACCAAATTATAGAGATGCTCACAGGGGCACAGTAAAAAACAGCCCAAACACTGTTTACAACTTGAGAGGTTGACTAAACATCCTACAGTATAAGCACAATGGGATAAAATCATGCAATTATTCATTTATGATCTTTTTTGAGGTCATGGACCCTTCAGCAAGCTTATCTTTCCACAGAAAAATATAGTTTCAGAGCATTCACAGACCTCTAGAAACCCGTCCATGGAATTCTTGTGGGAGAATTAACAATCCTAAGAGCCACTTCTAGTGTGTCTGTGGACTCTGCTGATGGAAGGAAATGTGAAGGGAAGCAAAATTAAATGTAAAGGCAGAACAGACCACAATATGCACACTGATCACTACAAAAAGGCCCACAGCAAGACGGGCAGGTGGCTAGAGAGCTGAGATCTGGCCCCGGGCTATAATGGAGAGGAAAGGATCACGGGAAGCACTCAATGAAGAGTAGCTGAGCGCCAAGTACATACTACCTTCATTTACCCTCATTTCACAGACGAGGAAAACAGGCTCGGGAGGTTCAGTAATTTGCTCCCAGTCATAAAGCTGCCAAGTGAGGAGGAGAACCCAGACCTATCCATCTGCACCGGCTTGACACCCCACTCGGGGCTGCCTGCCACAAGTCCAAACCAGTTACGACGGGGGAACGGAGACTCACGGGGGAGCAACAACCAGGATCCCACTAGGAGACTATACCCCCCTGCTCCTGAGGTCTCCTCCAGTGAACTGACCCATTGTGATAACCCGCAGGCTGACAGGGCTCTCTGCCACTCCAGCATCTGGCCACAGAGAGGCGGGCACCAGGAGGGAGCAAGCTCTGGGGTCTCTGAGAGGGCGTCAGGCCTAACGTTCCCACCACACACACACACACTCCGCACAATAAACTCCAGCTAGATTAGATGTTTAAATGTAAAATATGAAACCGTACAAGTATCACAGAAAATATAGACTAATATTTATATACTCTTGGGGTAGGAGAGATCTAAGCATAACATCAACCACAGAAACCAGAGTGATGACCTCAGCAGAACTGTGTAACTTTTGTTATGTCTGAAATGCAATAAACAAAATAAAAAGGCAATCTACAAACTGGGGGAAATATTTGCACAAAACATAACCAAGAATTATTAATATCCTTCATATGTAAGTGCTTTTACAGCACAACCAATAGAAAAATGAACAATTAAGAAGTGGAAAGACACACACACAACAAAAGTCCAAAGCAGCGCTCACACCCATAAGTAGAGTAGCCCGGATCCACCCAAGGAGCAAAGGTTTTTAATATAATACTCCTTCTAAGGAAAAGGGGAGACGGGTTTACCTCCCTAGAGAGGATGCTAATTTAGCAGTATGAACCTCAAGTCTTCACGTACCCCACAGAAATAACAGATGTGATCAAGTTTGAGCTCCAGGGAAGGTCACCACAGCATTACTTCCTAAGAGAAAAATCCAACTGGAAAGGTACTTAAATGTCATCTAAATGAGAATGTTTAAATGGATACAGCCACACAATGGAACATTATGTGACCACTAAAAAAGATGCTTCAAATGATAAGAAAACATGTCCACTAAATATTAAGTGAAAAGAGTTGCAAAACAGAATTTACAGCACAGGGCCAGCCCCGTGGCTTAGCGGTTAAGCGCGCGCGCTCCACTGCTGGCGGCCTGGGTTCGGATCCCAGGTGCGCACCGACGCACCACTTCTCCGGCCATGCTGAGGCCACGTCCCACACACAGCAACTAGAAGGATGTGCAGCTATGACATACAACTATCTACTGTGGCTTTGGGGGAAAAAATAAATAAATAAAATTATTTAAAAAAAGAATTTACAGCACAATCCCATTTTTGTATAAAAATGCATATATCCTATGCACAGGAAAATAACTGTAGAAGCAAATATGCCAATAACCATTTGTTAGTGGAAGATTATTGAGGATTTTTCTTTTTTCAGTTTTGTTACTTGTACACTTTACAATAAACCCTTTTTACACACGAGAATTCAAGAGTTATTTAAAAGAAAAGAGAAGGGAGGCGGTGCAGAGCTGAGGGGCCTGGAGGGTGAAGACCTCCAGCAGGCCAGAAGGTGGTGGAGAGGGCACCCTCACCCAGAGGAAGGTCAAGGCCACACTCCTGGGGACCACACATCTTCACATCTTTCTTATTTTTGGTTATTTTACCATCTTCATTTTGCCATTTCCAGACTGCACCAGCATATTTTTGTGTGTTAAATATGAAAATTTAAAACATACCACAAACACCTGTAAGCCTGTTTTGGCATTTTATTTAATATCAGCACCACACGAGTACTGCACAAGGCCAGAGGTTAACATTTCCTCCAGAGACCTAAGCACACACAGAGGTTAGCCTGGGCACATAAGCTCCTAGCAGTCCCTCAACGGCCGTGGTTAAGACATACCCAGTGCAGCCGGCTGGGTGGAGTGGGACGCAGTGATTGTCCTATGCCTTTGTAACACGGGCCATTTCTGCAGTTCTGTGTCCCACCTGGGCAGAGAGAGGAGCCTCAACCAATACTCACTGTCAGGCTATCTTCCTTTTTAAAAGAGCTTCCAAATTCAACTTTTGCTATTCTTATGCCCCATTACTTTTAATTTGCACCAGATCACCATTTTCTACTTAATTGCCACAAGCCCACTCACTGAGCGTCACTGTTATCACCCACCACCCCTGGGAGTCCAGAGAAAACGCTGAGTTCAGATCTACGCAAGAGGATGCAAACTGATTAGCAATAATTGCCAACACTGCCATCAACGCTTGCGACCCATCCCACTTGACCTGAGGATAACGGAGGGTAAGGAACAGGCTAGCAGCTCCTCTGAGTCCGAGACCATCTCAGGAGCTTCTGGATAGGGTGGAGGCCAGGAGAGTGTGAGCACAGCCCTCAGCTGCCTGCTCTCTGCTCCTATATTAACAAGCCCCACTTCACAACCCCTCCAACGCCAAACATTTATACCCCAAGGGACAAACTAGTCATCAGCCCACCACAGTTGCTAGGAAACAGTCCCATTCACACAGAGGCGTTTATAAGTTACCCTCAAGGTTTGAAGCAAGAGTTTTGTAACCGTTGTATAAAAAACAGAAAGAGAAACAAGTTCTGAAGAGGGCAAGGCAGGTGGAGGGGGGCTGGGTAAAAAGCAAAGAAAAGTGGTCAGGTAGGAAAGGGGCCTAGATTGTTCTGGGGGAACGAGGGACTGGTGGCAAGCAGGGAAAGGAGCCTTGAACTTGCACATAGCAGTGTGCACTCTCGGCAGAGCCATGAGCCCTAGACAGGAGGCTTGCTTGTGGGCACGGCAACTGCCCCTTCCCCAGCACCTAACTCCAGCTTCTCAGTAGCATACGCACGAGGGTTCACAAGCCCCCACGAGGCAGGCAAACCAGACACAGAGTGAGCACAGCAGCCAGCCCCAGGGCTGCTCTCTTGGAAAGGAAGAAGTCTTCAGGCCACGCTCTCCTACACCTTTGTTTTAGTCACAGCTCTTGCCCATTTCAGGTCTCATCTCCCCTTCCCAAGAAAGCTTCCCTTTCCATCCCCTTGGAAACAAGTCTTCTTAGCAGAGGCTGCTAGTGGCTTCTATTCCAAGCCCCAAGTTTGTCTCCTGTGAGGCAAAACCTTACAGCCGAAGAGTAAACACATGAACAGCAGTACAAGGAATTAGTTTCCAAGAATGAAATGCTGCCACGACTTCCCCACCTAGGACACAGAATCAATTTAGAGTCACAACCCAACTGTGCATTCCACGTGCTTCTACTCACGCCCTTTGCATAGTCTTGGCCTGCTTAGTACACCACTCACACAATTGAGCCCAAACTTGTCACTCACCAAAAGAAAAGAGTTAACCCAAAGCCAAACTCTTTAGCAAGAGACTTATGTGCTTAGAGCCAAATCCCAGATACATTTCAGTCTCTCAAAGACCACAAATATGGAAAACATGTATTACATGTCCATTCTGTTCTTATTTAGACTTTTTCTCCCAAGCAAATGAGAATAAAAATAGGTCCCATTTTTGACATACCATTCGGAAATCTAACCAGGTAAAGTTCCAGGATATTACAAAGTACTCTCCCACCTTGACACTGACATTCATTGGCCAGATGGTTCAACATCACATTTTTTGCAATCATTTCACACTCCCAACAGGGAGCAGTGCCCCCGCCCCACCCCGCCCACCAGACTGCAGACCATTCAAGTCATACCAGTTCTATTTGAGGTTACCACACTCTCATTTATTAAATGAGCTCAATGAGTTGGAGCTATTGAAAGTTGAATCCAGGCCTAAATCTACAATAAGGTACATCTAACTTCATTATGAAGGCAACGTGATTTACAGAAAAGACAAGGGCTGAAAAATATAACATAGCAATACAACAATTCTAAAGAGTTTAGAACTCAAACCTTTATTTGTGCTGTAAAGGGGAAGAAGAATGATTAGCAATCACGTACATGATGCAACAGGACTAGTTCTTAGCATACAGAGCAACTTACAATTACTTTAACCACCTACTTTTACAGTTGCAATTTCACAACAGCATACCAAAACACATTTCCCCACACATGCATGACTAATACTCTAAACGCCAATGACAGTAATTGTATCATGCTTGAGTCACAGGTTAAGAATGGAACTATCACGCCAACATATTTTTTAAAAAAAGAACCCAGAAAACAGAAAAAAATCCCAAGGTCAAAATGCATTGGGGATTTAAAATTTTTCAAGTGAAATGTAAGGTGAAGAGGGGCATGATGAAAAGCTACTGGTATTACTTTTTCAATAGATGCATTTCAGAAACAAGTAATAACATAAAGGGTTTTCAGATCTTTCCCTGAATTTTCACACATAGACCACATTTAGTAAAGGCCCCACCCCCACTCCAGTTTTGCTCTTATTCCCCAAACTAATTTTGGCAGATAGTTTCCTCTCTAGTACTGGGTCATTTAAAACATTCAAACTAATGATACAATGGTTATTAACTCTAACCTTAGCAAAGGTACATGGATTGTTTGCTACCAGATATTACAGTAAGTTTACAGTGACCACGAAGCTTATTTGGTTCTCCTGGTTAGGACGACTATGAAGAGATGACAGTAAGCAAAAACTTTTGCTGTTATTAACACTGACTGAACAGACAAGAGATGTGTTTATAAGGCACGACGTAACATAAAATTCCTTTAGAAATCACTTTCACTTTGCTCTGAGTTTTCAATCACAAAATATCTTAGTCAACAAATACGAGTTACTAATCCAGAAGAGTACATCTAATCTCATAGTTAACTGTGCACCAAAATCTCAAATTTAAATACTTTAAAAGCCCACAATTTGGGCATTTAAAGTCATTTTCTAAGACTTGATTGCTTCTGAATATGAACACCGTCAGCTTCTGATAAACCATTTAAGCTTGCAAAGCAGTGAAGGAAGTTATTCTGCTGATCTCAAGTTTCTGACACCCATCTTTCAAGTGACTGATACTCAGGTTTTCAGTTACACCTTTCAGTCTTCCCCATCTTGCAAAGCAAAACAATTTTGCTTCTTTCCTTGCCCTTAGAGTTCTAAGCTCTTTAGAACTAAAGAACTCTTTAGAAAGTTCCAAAGAAATTTCTGTGCTTCCAAGCAACAATTTAATTAGTATTAACAATTTACTAGTATTAACTAGCATTTTCTTTGCCCATGAGCTCTATTAAACTCCCCAGAGCTCTGCCTACTTATGTTCTCTCCAGAAAATTTCCTTCAACCCAAGTTCCCTACCACCCCCACACTCTGCAACATATACCCAACCAACCCTCTCCCTTTATCCACCCCCAACCCCTCCCAGCACCACTGCCAAGCTGGGCCCTCCCCCTCCTACAACCCTCACCTCAGGGTCCTCCCATTTGAACTTCAACATTACTTTGAAATCTAATCAAGTGAAATTCAACTTAAAAAATACAGAACAAGATGAATCAAAGATTACTATCAGTACCCCAACCATTCCCTTCTCTTAGAAATCCGCAATGCAACCAGAATACCCAAACTAGACCTGCCATTTCTAACAGAATTTGGACATGACCAACTTGTACCCTCCCAGACTACAGCACAACACAATGACACCCCCACCCCCGCCCCATCTGCCAGTCTGCTTCAACTAAGCATTATGCCTAAGACATTCAAACACTTTCCCACGCAGGTTACATCATCACACTAAGAATTCCTCCAACCCAAGCAAGGCAGGCAGGTAGGTGGGTAGATGAGTAGGTGAGAGGGTCACTGGGCTCCATCTGCAAACTCCATCTACAAGGCATCACTCTGCGTTGCGGCATCAACGTTAAGTGTTCTACAGCTTAAGAATCTTCTCGAAGCAAGGTTCGTAGCACAGAGCTAGTATGACAGCTTCAATTTACAAGATGCAGCATCTGAAAACCTCCACACAGGAAAGGAGCAGTGCCTGCTGGCATCCACGCGCCCAGAGGTTGGTGCTCTCGGATCAAACAAACACATCTGCTGATGGCCCCAGATGCATCTGCTTTGGATTTAAGATTGCCCCCTCATAAGCTCATGTGAAAACCTTAAATGATGGCCTCCTGAATACAGGGCTTCCTGAGCAAGGCCTGGAAACATGACACTGGAGAACTTCCTCCTCCTAAGTAAGCCTCTGGAAATTCAATCTGCAGGCATCCATTTAGGCGGGCTCTCTCCTTCAGGGTCTCCCCTCCTGCACTGCTATGACTCACACTGGCCAGGGGCTCCATTCCTCCTGGTGCCATCTGATCGCCATGATGAACACTACAGTAACAAACCATGGTCCATGAGGCATTTTTACCACTTTCAACTGGTACCATAGCTGCAGGCCCACCCAAGGGTGCATTCAATCCCCACCCTCTCCACCGGCAAGCAACACCAACCCGCCCCACCCAGAGTCTCCGTGGGGAGAGCCTTTCCTCATTCACGATTACCAACAATGCCGACTCCAACAGGGACTTCAGCAGCTTTCCCAGGCTTACCAGATTACCAGAAGCAAGGTTTTAAGTGAAGGGATAACCTCGAGAGAGTTAAAGGGAAGAGGGGGGGCAGACTGAGCTCACAGAAGAAGGTAGCACCGAACCTAGAGGAAAAGTCCAAAGGGGAGCACTGCCACCTAGAAAATAAAGTGCGGGTCAATTTCGTCCAGACATGCGAACATCCTGCCTCAGCAGCCCCCGCCTGCCAGATACATAAGACGCCATAGCATTAACCGCTTAGGATGGCACCTTACCTCCAGAATCACTCAGACCACCCTCACCTCCGACCAGGGGTCTGGTCTCACACCCAGAGCCAGGTTCCACCAGGCTGGGCCTGGCGTGTACCCTGTCCCAGGCCGAGCCAAAATTACATACCACCCTGGGCCAGAGCTGTCAGCCCCGCGAAGCTAAGTTCAGTTTCCACAACACCAGGCCTCATCCCCAGGCGGGTTCACAACCCTCAGTCTGGAAAAAAAGGGGGCTGCTGATATCGACAAGTTCAAGATCTGCCCTCCCGGCCCACCTGCGGCCCTGCACCCCACTGCCTTCCTTCCTGATCATTTTCAGGGCATTAACCGCTCAATTTTGCCTCCTCTCCAACACGGATGGCGAGATCCTCATCTCCTCCAACTCCTCCGTCTCTGCTTTCCTCTTTCCACAGAAACCAGGGCACTGGGGGATCGCTGAGCCCATGCGGGAGCTGCGTCCTCCCAGAGGTCAAGTTCCCCTTCCCCAGCGGGCAGCAGCGACAGCCTGGCCTAGAGCGTTGTTGTCCCCCTGGGCTACTGCGGGCACTTTCAACGCAGCTCTCCCCAGCACAGTCTCCCCAAGATCTAGTCTCCCCTTTAAACTTCCTTCTCCTTGTACCCCCAACCCCCTAGTATCTTCTAACTCTGTCATCTCCCGTACTCGCCCTCTGAGACCCTAAACTGGCCACTTCCACCCTCAGAGCTAAAGTCAACCACACAGGGCTCCCTGCCACTAACTCCTGCTGGACAGGCCACAACTTTTGCTTTTATAGCCCACGGCCGCCTCACTCGGAGCACTGCTCAACGGGACGATTCCTCCACTGCCACCGGAAAAAAAGTCCCTGCCCGACCTTGCCCAAGGAGACGCCTCGGCCCAGTTCTCGGTCTCCCGGGGTTTCTGCCCCCTCAGATGCCCTAATTGTCCCCGCTTCACCCTTAGCACTGCTTCAGGAGATCGAGGACAGGTCTCAAAGTGACATTTGGGGGGCGGATTCCATGGAAGGAAAGTGCCCTTTTCAAGGAGAGGGGGGAAGGAACCACCGTTCCCTGAGAGGGGGCTGGATGGGGGAGGGGGGTTGGAGCTGCTCTCCCGAGGGGGCGAAGGGAACTGCCGGGGTCGCTTCAGGTCACCCCTCCCCACAGAGGTCCGAAAGAAGGGCCGGCGGAGCGACTGGAAAATTCCAGGCGGCGCCGGCGGAGGGATCTCTGCAGAGGGCGCATCACTCTCTGAGGCGGTGGCAGGGCGGGGGCGGGGCGGCGGCGCGTGACTCTCGGGCGGCGGCGCAGCCTCGTGAGCGCCGGTGACGTCAGTGCCGCGGCGCGTTGGGGGAGGGGGGGTGGAGGCCGGAGCCCTGGGAGCTGCTGGGAGAAGCAGGGGTTGTCCGCACCTTGGCACCTGGGCAGGCCCTAGAGAACCGCACACACGCTGTGCTTACAGGATCTCTGCTTAAGAAACCTTGCTGTGATTTTGTTATTTTAAAAATGGAAGCAAGTTGGTTAAAAAGTTATGGTCCAGAAGTTGCCCCGTGATAGCTAGAGGGGCGTGTGTCCCGGTTTTGTCGTTCTTTGTTACCAGGGGCCTGGAGGTTTGAAGTATTTCATAAGAAAAGATATCCCTGCTGGGATAGAACACTTAATGACTGTTCACCATGTAGTCAGTGGAAAAACGGAGTTGCAAAGTAATGACAAGCCAGATCTTTGTGCAGAAAACAATATGTGTAACTTAATGGCGACAAGACCAAAAGGGCGTGCATATTCAACCCATTTTGCTTTTGGATTGGTTGGTGGGGAAAAAGATTTTTTTGAAAAAATGATTTGTCCAGGGCGGTTTACAGCCTGTGATGGGCCTCAGGGAGCCTGTTTAATGACTAGTCGCTGGGGGCCCTGCCTGCTGGCTGCCCACGGTGAGCAGGCCCCCCACTTGGGTCTTCCAAAGCAGAGGCAGAAACAAACCGGTGAATTTGTCCTTTCCACCAAGGCCAGGCAAGGCCTGAGTGCTTGGTGAGGATTTTGAAAAGGGTAGTTGGCATCTCCCATGCCAGTGTGGGGCCAGAGTGAGGAGGAGGCATAGCCCGAGACCCCCATGTGGCCTCTGTTCAGCCGTGGCCCCCTGAAGTATAGGGCAGGAGAAGGACGGTGGTCCCAGTAACCAGAACTGAGAATGGCTTCCTGGACCAACTCCCTGACAGGAAGTCTCCTTTGGGGGTAGCCACACACACACCCACACCCCAAACAAAACTGCCAGTGATACAGGCTCCCTTGGCAACTGGGAGGTAACTGGGGAAGATTGTTCCCCCTGCCCCTGAGAGATGGCATCTGCAGGCAGGGCTGGGCCCAGCTGCCCCACCCTCCTTGTGGTTCTCGGAAAACTGATGACTCTCAGCACAGAAGGTCGAGTATGTGGCAAGTCCAGACTTGTTCACCATTGGGTGCTGGCTGAGCTCTTCTGCCAGAGAAAGATTCCAGCAGCTCACCCTTTGCCAAGATCTGCCTCATCAGTCTAGTCCTGGCAGCGTTTCCAGGGGTGGGTGGGGGGATACTTGGCCTGAAAGAACAGTGTGGAAAGAGGGACTTGCCTGTCAGAATGTTCTAGAAAGCTGGGAGGTGTGTATGATACCAAGCAAATGCCTTCCCTGCTGTGTCACAGTACCAGGCTATGGGGTCAGCCCTTTATTTATCTACAAGGTGCCTGAGAGGTGGTAGTCAGTGCTGTGTGGATGTTTCCTGGGCTCAGCTTGATGCCTTAGCTTGGTTTTCTCTTATCTCTGGTCTAAAAATCTTCCTTTTTCACACATATCATTCCCAAATCCCAGAAACAAACTGTCTTAGATTTTATCTTTCAAAAGAGTAGGAGTACCCCCTTTGTGGGGGGATTAGCACCCCACAAAGTATTAGGATTCTACAGAGCATAGGAATCTTCATCACAAAAGGAACTAAGGCCCTCATTTGTGGCCTTGTGTCTGGAGCTGCCCTGGCTGCCCACTCCGTTTTCAAGGACAAAATGGCACAGTTTCAGAGGGTCCTTGTTTAGAAGCTCTTCTGGCCTTGGACTTCCACACAGCTAGTTTTCTTTGGGAAGGGAATGTATTTGAGGACAGATGAAATGAGGGTAGAAAACCACACAGGGACATCTCTTTCCTGCCTTAGGGGGCCAAGATGTGCTCACAGTATGGTGGACAAACGTCCGGCTTGGGTTTTGCCTCTTTCTCTGCAAATAAGGCTAAAAATATCTCCACCCTGACGGAAGAGGAGGGCAGGGCAGCTGCGAGTCAGCAGATTTCTCTAGATCAAAACAAGCTGTTCCAGGAAACAGCAGTAAACAGAGGACCTTGGATCCCTGGGTGGGGCGGGGTGGAGATGGGCCCCCCCACCCCAGTGCGGGGCTGAAGTCTGCTCCTTCCTGGGCAGCCTGCTTAGGGGCTCTGTGCTGGAGGGGAAAGGAGGACAGGAAAGGGCCCCTTAGGCAACATCCGGATTGCAGGGTCAGGGCCCAGGCTCCGAGTCCTTTCTCATGGCCACGGCCACCTCCCCATCTTGTTTTGAAACCAGCTCAGCTCTGTTGTTTCCAAACACGCAGGCCAGCCCAGGGAGGGACCCAGGAGACTTCCTACAGGAGCCCCTAGAAAAGGGAGAGAAGAAGGGAGACGTGAAAGGGTTGGCACTTCAGGCTCACACCAAGGGCAGGACAATGACAGTATTGTTGCCACCATTTGAGAATGTGCTGGAACTCTACTCCTGCCATCCCCCACAGGTCCGGTTCCAGAGCTCTGGCTTTGGGTCACCTTGGGCTCTGCGCTCACAGGAGACCCTCTGCTGGGGCCGTTTCCCTCGGAGTCCTGAGGCCCCCTGACTCAGGGCCTGCGTAAGGAAACTGCACAGTCACCGTGTGCTGGCCGGGTGCCCTCCTGCCCCGGCTCGCCTCACAGCAGCCCCTGCAGGAACCACAGCCTGGACCCTGCTTCTAGCCCCCTCCTGCCCTGGCAGGAAGCTGGACCTCAGCCCAGGCTCCGGCCGGGTGGCCCCCCCTCCTGGCGTGACCCTGGGTACGCCCTTAATCCTCCTAGCTGTGCTTTCCTCCTTCGCACTGCATAGTCTGACGAGCATTGTTCTGCCTGGAAGGCTCTTCACCCAGTGGCCGCCTGGCCCAGCCTTCCCTCGGCTCCTTCAGGCCTCTGCCCAGAGGTCTCCTTCACAGTGAGCCCCCTCCATGGGCCTTGAGCCCCTAGAGGGAGGGTTTCCCTCTGTCCTGTCCTCCACTGGATTTCTGTGCCTGCAGTCCCTGCCACGTGGCAGACCTCGGTGAAAGTGTTGACCAAACAGTGTATGTTTTGTAAAGGTCACTCTGTCCACTGTAAGGCTGTCGGTAAATATTTGTGGCCTGGCTGAAGGAAGGAACTGAATTCCCAGGGCAGCAGCAGCCCCACAAACTCGATGATAGGCCCCAACCTGGGGGCCTGTCCCCCCTGGGCTCCCAGGTCAGGAGACAAGGAGAAAGGGGCGGGGGCTGCTCCCTGGGGCCCGGGCCCAGCAGCTCACGTGGAATGTCTGAGGCGGCTGAGGAACCAGGGGAGCCTCTCTCGGCCAGAGCTGGCAGAGGGCATTTGAGAGAGAGGGCGTCGGGGGTGGAGACTCCCCAGACCCTGGTTTATAAGGCGGAGGAGGAGGTAGGCCAGCCCACTTGCATTTCATGTTCCCATTTCCTTGGCCCACGTGGGCCAAAAAGAGGGAGAGGAAGCAGGGAGGGGATGCTAAGTTAGGAGGGGGCTTCTCACACATTCCACCTTTGTCTCCCCTGGGTGGGGGCAGGGCCTGTGGGCTCTGGGTCCCTGATGCCCTCTCCTGGGGGCCTCCCGGCTCCCAGGGCCAGGCCTCAGTCCTCGGGCCATGCCTCCAGGAAATAACTCTGATGGTGTCAGTCCTCTGCATCCGGATCCGCATCCGGATCCGGGACTGCCTGCCACCTACACCTCCAAATCCTGGGCATTAGGCCCTCGGTGCCCCAGCCTCACTGAACCCCACCTCCCCTTCACTGAGCCTTGCCCAGGCCTCCTGCCTGGAGCCCGCCTGTCCTTCTCCTGCCAACTCCTTCGCTGGCTCATGGTCACCTCCTATGTCCTGAAGCACCTGCTCCTAAGTGCTCACCAGACCCACCTGTTCCCCAGCAGAGGGCAGGCCTGTGGAATGAGGGTCTGGGTCCCACGAGGCTTGCCTCCCTCGACCACTGCTGTGCTCTGCCAGTGGCCCCCAGACCTCCTCGGCTCCCCTGGTGCCGACTAAGCAAGTTCTAGCTGTCGTAGGCCCCTCCCTTTGGCCTGTGCCCACCTTGCCAGCCTCTCCCCAAGCCCCACCCATCAGGAATCCTGGCAACAGCTCCTCTGGGCAGGGAGCCAGGCAGTGCCGACATCCACCATCTCCCACCCCTAGATTCGCACAGCCCCCGAGAAACCCTCTCCCTTCTCTGGGGCCCTCTGAGTGGCATCCGTGAGCATGGGATGCATGGCGCCAGGGCTTCTGCAGGCAGAGCAGAAACCCTCTGAGTGGTTCCATCGGCCCCTGGAGGCTGCTGCCCTTGGCGCCGTGAGGGAGACCTGTGCTCTCACTGGCCCAGTGTCAGCGGTCACCACCCCTCACCCACCAAACACCAAGGTCAAATGGGCAGGGAACACACGAGTCCTAGGGAAGAGCTGGCACTATTATT